CTCCCTGTCTCTCCCTGTCTCTCCCTGTCTCTCCGCGTCTCTCCCTGTCTCTCCCTGTCTCTCCCTATCTCTCCCTGTCTCTCCCTGTCTCTCCGCGTCTCTCCCTGTCTCTCCGCGTCTCTCCCTGTCTCTCCCTGTCTCTCCCTGTTTCTCCGCGTCTCTCCCTGTCTCTCCCTGTCTCTCCGCGTCTCTCCCCGTCTCTCCTTGTCTCTCCCTGTCTCTCCCTCCCCCCTCTCTCTCTCTGATCCAGTTTCTTGTCGAGGTAGACACTTACACCCTCCCCCTGCTCCCGAAAATCGATACATTGCCTGGAAGCTTTCCAGAATTTTCATTGTATGAATCGTCGCGCTGTTAGTTCGCTCCCAAGAGTCGCTCTGATTGCCTCAAAGTTTGCCCCGTGAAATAACCAATAGCAACGCGATTTTCAAATTGAAAGAAAACCTCGTCGAAAATTGGAACGTTCCAAAAGCTACATGCGCCCACTTCGTATTTTATTTTGTAACAAACGTGAACCGCGATGGTTACACGTCGAACTTCACAGCGGATGTGTCGCCGACGCTTTGACATACGAAACGGACTACCGTCGCTGCAAGGACACCTTGAGAACCGCTATCAAACATTTTTCACTTTCTCAGAATGTTATTCAAATTTATTCCGCAATAAAAGTGTCGCGCGTCTTTACTTGTCTGACAACGTGCGGTACTTATCTACTTGGAATTCGTCCAACTCTAGACGGTTGGATGCACCTTTCGGCCCTTAAATCGCCGCGCTTTTGCACGAAAGAATTTAGCTCGGGGATTGAGGTCTTCCCCAAAGTGTCTTTGTTATTTTCCAAATCGCCCATCAGTCCGTAAATAAGCGCGTAATTTTGCCAGACCGTTCGCGTGAAATTAATACGTAACCTGAGATCACCTTTTTGCAGATACGTAGATAATATTTTCATAAAATATAGGAAATGTTTAAAACAACCCGGATGGGAGTGTCAGAAATTGGAAAAAGATGTTGGGGAAAGATATTTATTCTTGGGGGCGAATTTCCGGATTAGATCTTCACGAATTGTAAACTATTCGTGTCCAGTTACACACCGCGAATTCCCGCTGTGGGTAAAATAGCCTCTCATGATCCTCGAGAATGCAATCTTGTTGCATAAATAAGAACATGACGATGAACGTCCGGGAAGATAACAGTAAAGAATGGCGTTCGTACGAGTTTTCGTGAACGCTTCCCCGTCTCTTGAGCGAACTAAAGTTTCTTGGCAGATACGTGAAAGGAAAAATCTCCGCAACTTCCCTGCGGAATGTAGACGTCATGCTTTATTCATGAGGTCGCTAAATGCGGCCCGTTGCGCTAGATGTGTATTTATTGCGGTATCCGCCGCGTGTAAGACGCAATATTTTACTGATCATGTACTACGATACTAATATTAGATCGCCTCGTATACGAGTTCTCTTCAAGTTACTTCCTCATCTCTTCTTCGAAGTCCGTTTCAATAATAAATTTTTTTATAATCCCACAAAGTATCAGGCAAAAATCGAATCTTATGCAGCCAATGTTGACATTGTTTCATTGAAAATATTACGTTTCACAAAATTTACATATGTTACAATAATAAAATTTGCCTGCGGTAAGAGAAATTAACACAAGAGCAAACATGGATTGACTCTTATAGATAGATTGATTGACTTTAAAACTATGAGATCTTGGCCGATGTTCTTTTGAAAAATACTTAAGAATGACGTTATACAATGAACTACACAATTGGTATCGTACGTCTCTATCTTTCGGAGAGCGTTTTGTTTGTCTCGTGCGAATCCCATTACGTTCATTCGCACACAGACCAATGAGTGTAGAATAGCAGGTAAAAGCGAGTAAATTTTCCCAGTCATGTGCACGCAAAAGTGTGCGCGGCCCATGATTTACGGCGCTTCATTTCTGATCGATACACAATACGGTCCGTCCCCGTTCGCTTTCGAAAACCGAACAGCATCCCGGAATGGTGCTCTTTCTGATAGCGATACATAAAGGCTCCGTGCCCGTCAGCGTGGCACGGTAATGATTTCATCCGAAGCTGCGGAGCGCGGGGGAAGCGCCGCTGGAAGACAGGAATTGATAGATTTCTCTCTTTTGTGAGCACCCGGGAGCCATGCAAATATTGAACTGAAAGCAGCACAAGGCTCCTTAAAGCACTCCCCCTCGCTATCGAGACTCTTTGCGAGTTATATAGCTCCGACCGTGAAAAGCAAAGACAGACGGAGAGAGATGAAGGATGGAGAAGGGCGAAGAACCTAGGATAAGGAGCGCGATGAAGGGAAAGAGGGAGGAAGCGGCGCAAGAGCGCGGCACCTAAGTCGAGTAGGTTTCCGCTTTTCCTTTCGTGTCACCTTTCCACCTCCCTGAACGATAGCTCTCGCGTTCGAGCTCCTTCTTCATTGTCTTTTCCTTCCGAGTCTGTCTCTCCTTCTCCCCCTTCCCTCCTCCCTCCTCCTCTTTCTCTACCTCTCTTTAGATTCCTTGTCCTTGATCCATCTCTTTCGATACTTTCCTCTCATTCCTGTCTCTCCCTCTCTCGTCTTTCTTTGCAGGTCTCATTGCGAGCGAGGAACTTCGAAGGCACAACATGCCTCGAACGAGACTTTTCGACTTTGCTGAAATGAGAACCGAAAATGGCAATCCGGAATTTTAAATTAGACTACGCCTCGGCATTAGTCCGCTCCGGAATGTGGCGTTTCATGCGAAGTTGCCACGTTAATGCGCCGCGGATAGTTTCGATTGTACCTTTCCGTACTTTCGGAGGAAAACGCAGTCTCGAATCTCGTCCTCTGATTTATCTTTGTCAAATGGACTTTTTATACCTTGTTTTCTCACCAAATCGCAGGAAACAAATTACAAATTATAAAACTTCTTTAACTTATCTTTATCTTATACCTTTTATTAAATTATATAAGAAAAGTGTTAAGAAGAAAAGGATTTAAGTGAAGCAACAGACTATGTCAACTAAAACCGTCTCATTTTTATATTGTCTTCGCGCGTGACTCGTATCATGAAATTACAATTGCATTACGTATTTTAGAGTATTACTTTTTTCAATCCATTCAAATAAACGTGATTGTTTCACATACAAGTTAGCTCGTCAAGTGTGAATTTTGCCACTACAATTTTTCATAAGCCGCGTGTATTATTCCTCGCTTTTTATCGGCCCACATTGCATCTTATTACAATTCTACGCGAAGTGTGCATTTTAACTTTTTATTTATGCAGTGCTCCGTGACCTGTGGCACCGGAATACGGACGAGGACGATCGAATGCAGAGACGGTGTTGGTGCCATCTCCAGGGATTGCGACCCCGCGGAACGCCCTCATACCGAGCAGGAATGCAAGACGAACGTCGCATGTCCCACATGTAATTGCGTTATGTCTAAGTTAAACTCGTATTGGATCGAACGGCAATTTAATGTGCTTTAAGCGACGCTCTGAAAATTCATGCGCGATATTCCCGAAGCAGATTGCACGAAATTAAAGGCAGATCTCTGCGAAATTCAAGCTTCAGACCCCGAGCTGTTACGAAATCCCGCAACTAATCTGAAAACATTTGTCGACTCTATTATTTATTATATATAATTTATGAACTTGACGTATTAATTTTAACCCTTCTTTACATTTCTCATTTTACTTCAAGATAAGATTTGAAGCCTTCAGTTTCCACTCACTTTCTCGCAGAACGGAATAATTTTCAGAGAATTTTAATATCATTTTATCGTTTTATTGATATTTTTAAATTAATTTCAAGGAACCATGAAATTCTCAACATTTGTTATATAATGTGTCCTATGATTTCGTAAGTAAATTTTTTAAAGAAGTTAAGAAATTGTTTAAAATCGTTTCGTTAACAAACTGTAAAATAGCTGTACAATTATATTCAGTTTCTCTTTCAATTATCGGAATCTTTCGTAAGATTCAATGCGTTTTATTGTGCGAGAATAACATTAGAAATAAAGCCGAGTCTAACTCAAGAAATTATTGAAAGATATTACCGTTCGAAAGCAATATGCATAGAAAATGAGACGGCATACGAAATTTTATTTAGATGGAGACGGCATGACACAGCCCCTGGTGCAGCCGTATCCGCTATCCCCAGTGTCAGAGAAATTGATGGACCAACCGATACCTTCCGAATCGACGTAAGTACCACTCTCATATATCTTATAACACATGTATACGATCTTGTATTTATTAATGTCTTTAACTCACTCGAATGATTTGCAATCTATCGACTACATTGTACAGATCTTGTTAATCCCATTTTAAATAAGTGCTATATACAATCTGAAATGACAATAATTATAATTTAAAACATGAAATTATTGATAAAATTCTATCTTCAATTAGGGATAAAATCTAAACTGGTCCTCACGGATGTAAAGTTATTTTATCTGTCAGTGTTTTCTGATGAGCTTAGAATTGAATGTCCCAGTGATAGCACTAGCCGATAATAAAATCTATCAGATATAAGATAATTTATTTATGACGAGCGAAATTGAATGGCACTTCGCGACTTCATCCCGATGGATACGGATAGATAACATACTTTCGTTTTATTTTGCAGCTGAATCTATGGAAAATGTAAAGAAACAAACAACTATCTTGTTTGATCTAATTTAAAATCCAATTTAGGTAGTCCGCGAGGCAGCCGCCAAACGATTAATTCATCAAGTTCTCGGCTCGTATAAACTTTCCGTTTCGCTACAATCCTCGCGGGATATGTAACATCGATCGCAATTCGAGAACAATGGCAGCGGCTTTAGAACAGCCATTACCACCGTAGCGAAATTCCATAAGATGTTAGACCTAGATTCCCTTCAGTCAACGTTTATAACTTTCTCTCTGTATGGTACTATCTGACAATTTCCCCGTGCCTCTAACACTCATAACGCGTCATTCTACCTTTTCGTTATCACAGGTTGTGATTTCATCTGTTACAGATTTACCTTATATGAAATTAAATGACGGCAAAAGTTTATTTTACGCTCGCTCACACACGTTAGTCGTGGTTTTCATTTTCGAAACAAAATTTAAATTATACCTAAGCTGGTGATAATTTATTTTGTTTTAAACAGTTCTTGTTTCGCTTTATTGTGAAATTGATTTTGAGTTATTTCCAATTTTGCGACTTAAACATCTCAAGCTCGTGTGTGTATCGTGCGAAGTAACATTTGTTAACGAAATATTAGAAAAATAATTTTCTGACAATCGGAAGAAGTGATTTTCAGTAATTGCGCATAGCGAAACTTACTTATGAATCAACCCAATACATGTACAGATACATTTGTAATTTTATAACATTGTTATTGTTAAATTTAAATCACATCATTTGCTGAACGTGAAAATACTTCTTTCTTTTACCAGAAAGAGATTAGAATTTTAAAATCATATATTTATAAAGAATAATTTATACGCCTTAAATCTCTCTCTCGAGTGCTTATACACCGAGAATGGATGATCAAATCTTAGACGTCGCATTTTTCATCTCTCTGCGACCCAAAATCCCAGTTACCGGAGTTCTCGGTCGAGCGTTCGTATTATCTTATGCGAATTCGGAATATATCAATCGACCCCCGGTTTTTCAGGTTTATCGCCGAGGAATGGTCCCCCTGCAGCGTCACCTGCGGCGAGGGCGTCAGGCACAGAGAAGTGCGCTGCAAGATATTCCTCGAGTTCAGCCAAACCATCGCCAAGCTGCCGGACAGCCAGTGCACCGGCCCGAAGCCCGTCGAGACGGAGAAGTGCACGATGGAGCCGTGCGGTCTGCTGGAGAACAGCCTATCCTACAGGATCGACACGGTTGGCGATAGCGGATACGCCGAGTCGAGCTTGACGGACTCGTACGGTAGATCATCGTCCGGCAGTTCCGGCGGAAGCGGCTACGACAGCGGTATCAAGGTCGCCCCGGGTAGCGACGTGCAAACTACGTACTCGTGGAAGGAAACTGGCTACACCCCCTGCAGCGCAACTTGCTTAGGAGGTAACGGATCGAACGACCATTGTTCACCAAGATTGCTTTTGATAATATACCGGGTGGACCGGACGGATAGGAGGCCGGGCTTTGCCGCCCGGGCGGTCTGGGATTTCAGGTTCTCACTCCGTCACATATGGATTTTAAATGATGAATAGCCGCCGCGCTGCGGCACGCCTTCAAACCCGTTGATCTTTTACTAATGAACAATTATTTCGAGAAACTACACTAAATTAATTCTGAAAGTATATTTGTGAATTCTCATATCTTACCCCGGAATAGACATTAATTTAGCGTTTTTAGATAAAATCGCAGAATCGCTATGTTTTTATTATAACACAAGATGCATTTTTATTGTATCTTATTATATTTTAATTATTATACCATGTACATTTCATTATTGCTATTCGAAATAATCTTTCCCCACATTTTATTTGTAAGCGTATCTCAGTATCCTCGAACAGGTATTGCCGTTTATTTTTTCCAATGCGCGATATTTGTAAACGGGAACTGTGCAGTCTGTGCAAAGCCGAGATTAATCGTTTATTGAATAGGATTAGCGAAACGAATTTAGTTTGTCGACGTAGTCCTTAATTAGCCCGGCAAAATCGTGTCGATGTCATTGTGCAATTAACAGCGCTCAGATATAATCGTATTAAGATTACTCTGTGTCGACTAACGTGATACAAAGGGACGAGCGTGCGCTCTGGATTATCTATCGTTTATAGCGAATCGCGCGATTGTACATGCATTTCTCTCTCTTTCTAGGTGTCCAAGATCTTATTATAAACTGTGTTCGGGACGACACCGGGAAAACGGTGATGCCGCTTTTATGCTCCACGGAAACGAAGCCGGAGGCGAGGATACGAGTCTGTAACGACCATCCGTGTCCTCCGAGGTAAAGCGACACTATATCTTCGCGATATCGATCAGTTTAATGCTAATGTTGAGATACTTCGCGTTACACAATGTTCGACTTGCTTAATCGCTAAGTGTCTTGGGGCTGCTATAATATTCTGACGACTTACACTAGGGATCCTGAACCTATTCCGTTAAAAGAGCCACGTTAAAAGCTTTAAAACAATCCAGCGATCGGCCGGATAAGTTGTTTTTAAAAATTATATGAAAACTAATTTTCTTCGTTTTAAAATTCTTTTATAAAAGTTCGACGCAGCGACAGCGAAACCTCGAAACCGAAGTTCAACTATATACACGCGTCAAAATTTCTTAAATTGGTAGGCCGGATAAAACTTCACGGGGGCTAAATTCGGTCTCCGGTCCGTAAAAGTTGGAGACCCGTAACTTACGTTATTGAATACAGGTATGTCAACTTTAAGCGGCCCCTCGGCATTTTTTCTCGTGAAACGTTTGATCTTTTCAAAAAAAACACATCCTGCGCGATTTTCTGAATATTTTGTTCAATGCGTGCAACAATACGTTACGTACAATAAATATTTGGAAAAGCTGGTCGTTTTATTTTTGAATTGATAAAGTGTTTATTGGCTCCTCCGTTAATTTACTATTTCTATCTTCTTATTTTCTATACTTGTACACTTAGAAAATACTTGAGTGATTTTGTTATCGTATAATCTATAAGGCGTATATACGTTGCAATTTTGTAACTTGCCGTATGCACGCGATTGAGGAAGGTTTAATTAATGTTACGGCGCAATTCTCTGTGCGATCTTTCTTGACAAAATGTGTCATCGTCTGCGTCCGCAGGTGGAATTATAGCGAATTCTCCACTTGCATGAGCCCTTGCGGTATTGGTATACAGACACGTGACGTTACCTGTATCCACGAGGTGACACACGGCACCGGCAAAGCAGTGCCCGTTCCAAATTACATGTGTCCGCAACCACCGCCCGCCGACAGACGATACTGCAATGTACTGGATTGTCCTGTCAAATGGAGCACGGGGGAATGGGGGAAGGTATATGTTTGTACACGTTTGTATAAGGCTCCGACGATCTCGGGGAAAATGCTCTTTGTTGCACACGAACTGCGGAATGATATAAACCACTTCCCTCATTCGGCACACTGAAATAACATGAAAGAATCCACTCGGTGCAAAGAGCCGAAAAACTTTTTACATACGCGGGTCATTTGAAAAGTTTGCAGAATGAGCTACAGAATGAATGGCCGTCGCAAACAAACGTTATATGTACGTTAAACGGAAAGTTCCAACCCTTCTACGAAAACGTACAAAGTTCCAATTCGTTTCATGGAATAGATTCGTTTTTTTTTTTATAGATCTTTGAACGAACGTATCTGCGTGATTTTTAAAAAACGAATAAACTGGAAGTGCTGGTATAATTAATTAATTATACACGAATTAAGATACGATTTGTTGTCGCACCCTTTTTATTCATCTGACTTTTGTTAACTTTGTAAGACTTTTTATTCTAATGAATAATGAAATTCTTTACCAGAAAGATATTTTTGTCGGATTAAGAAGTGAAAGGGGCAATTCATGAATGTCTTGCATCATTTGACACATCGGAGATTTGTAATGAGATAATGTGAGCACCGATAGTTCAAGTGCATTGGTACAAAGAGAGATTACGTTGAAAAGTAAAAATAACTATTGTATAAAAAAAAGTTAAGAGCTGTTTTCCAGTTTTATTCCGAGAACTTTTCAAATGGCCCTCGTTTGGGTATTTTTTGTAGAAAAAGAGATCGTAAGACTTCATGGTTATTCGAGAGAAATTATGCATGAACATTGGTTTAATAATCAGTTTTTAGTTTTAATTTTTACATTTTTTCTTAATGAAGTTTTTATACTAGCGCTATCCTCTTGAAATTCCAGGATTTAAAGTACCTGGTAGCGACACGTCCTATATATAATTTGATTTATATGTGCATTTTAGAAAGTGTGCTCTGAACTTCTCCAAATTTCCCCTAAAACGGAAACTAAATGAATAATTTTTAGTGCTCGAGAACGTGCGGCGGTGGCGTGAAGAAGCGAGATGTAGTTTGCGAGCAGATAATGGCGCAAGGTCGCAAGCAGAGTCGCGAAGAACGCGAATGCCCGGCACAAAAGCCAGCCAGCGAGAAACCTTGTAACACCAGGACCTGCCATGACTCGGACTTGGGCTCTAATGTACCACCGATCATCACCAGCTTGAACACGACGTACAATCAAACGGACATCAACGCAAAGGTGGACCTGAAAATTGGCGGAATCGCCAAGATTTTTCAAGGGACGCCTTCTATCAAGATTCGCTGTCCCGTTCGAAAGTTTGACAAGTAAGTAGACGCGATCTGTTTAACTCGAGGGTCGAGGAAGATAGTCACAAATACAATATCGTTATCAGAGCGCAGATTGTATGGATGAAAGACAACAAGGACATACGAAAGTCGAGGAAATACAAGATCAGCAGGAAGGGAGCTTTGAAGATAATCGATATAGTTTCCTCGGATTCGGGAGTCTACGCTTGTATTGGTAAGCGATCTGTCTCGCCTGCCACGCTCCATATCCTATCTGCGTTTCGACACGCTGCTATGAAAAATGAGCTGATAATTTTTTTTCAGCGGGAAATTCGCACGCAGAGACGCAGTTGATAGTGAAATTTCGGTCCAAAGAGCAGATAAGTAGCGAGGAATATTTACGACTGGGCAATTCCGTTCACCTACAACGAAACGCGAATCTCGACTCTGCACCGGCGAATTCTGGCGAGAGCCCATACACTGATCACGCAGGTAAGCGTAATACGCATTTTTATCGAAAAGAATTGTTCGCTTATACGAATTCTCGTTTATGGATAATTATAATGATAAACTGCGGACAAATTCTTTCAACTTCCCGAATATTCGTTTATAAATCAGGTGTCTTGAAAACTTAAATAAATCTTTCTTATTTAAAAAATTATTAATATCTGTTATTTTTAAATCTGTGGTGTAATCGTAGAGTTAAAAATTTCACAGGTTTAAAAGATTCTTTTAGATTTAACAAAGTTATCGTATAACCATTTTTAGCTTTGGAGTTAATAAAATCTAATAAATGCTTTTAATTCTAAGCTTAATATCAGATTTTGAAAGTAACAGATGTTACCTTTGAAATGATGAATTTTAACTTGACGCAACCTTGTTTCTTTCTTGTAGCAGCCTACGGGAATCGTTTTGATAGCGAGGATCTCAGCCATGAACGTGCGTTTCCGAGCAAACCAACTAGAAAACCACATCAAAAGAAGCAGAAAACCAGTCCCACTCCGTCAGACGCCACGATGATGCACAAAGAGCATACTGTTACCTCTCTCAATCAGGTACGCGAATAAGCATTCCCCTGTCAAGATCGTCTTCCGCTACAATAATTCGTTGCGTGTATCTTGACATTGCTTAACAAGTGGTATGTGCATGAATTTCGTCAAACTAATTCTCTGGTGATGGTTCTGTATTTCGCTTTGCACTCCTGGACTAACTTTCCTCGGTGTCGGTTATTCGATATTTGTGACTATCAATCAGCCGGGGTATCACGAATCCGTGGAGTCACCTGCTCCATCAAGTGCTTCTACTCTTGTGCCGCACTTGAGCTACTTGATATCGAGCTTGAAGGTAAGACATCAATTTGTGAATAAACTTGGCGGGGTTGTAACGCGTGCCTGTCCACCACCGTAGAGCTAAATTCTCGACGATTTACTCTCTCGGCATACGTACTATGAAACTCTAAATGTTAAATATTAACGCGCTTTATGACAGGCCTATTGGCCGTTTCACAGCGAAATAGCCACGGGTGATAATCGCAAGACCACTTCCACGCCACTAGTCGGAGATGGGCATAAAAGGGCGGCGACGACGAAGCGTAGAATGTCTAACAGGGACACCGACCTCACGTATCAAAGTATAGATAATACCTTCGACGATCTATATCGTAATACAGTCATTCCGGACGAGACCTTCGGTCCTGATGAAGAGCGGATATTTATCGATGTCGATCCCTACGATCTGGACGAATCTGTATTCGGGTTACAGCACGGCGACGGCGTCAAGTCGGATATAATGGATAAAGTTGATGCCAGGCTTACCACAAAGCCCGATATCGATTATATCGAGGAGTCGTTAAAAAATGTGAAACGACAGTGGCAAGAGTCGAGAAACGAGTACAGAGATCAGTGGAGCACCATGCCCAAAAGTCACGTCCAAAGCAGAACCACGACAGAATCTATCACGTCTTCACAGAGCGGCGAAATGGACATGTATTACGTCGAGGATTCGAGCACAAAAAAGGAAATGCTCAAGGAAGCAGGTAGTTTTACCGACGGTAGTGATAAGTCCATCAATCACGGCGTTTATAGAAACTTGAGAACTGAAGACCCATCGACCGTCGCCTCCACAATGATATCCAGAGGTCTTGGGGATCGATTAAGGATACCGGAGTCGAGTCATCGTAGTTTGAGCCACGCGAACAGGACAATCGAGTACAGAGACGCGTTCGAGGAGGAGTTGGATAAGCGGAAAATCGCGCCGTATGTGGAAAATCACACGGTGGATTATACAATCGCGCGATTCCCGACTACTAGAGAACTGGAAAATAGAGCGAGAGAAGACTCGACGTTGATAAATGATCGGAGGTCGGGCGTTGTTGGAGAGAATCCTGACGAGAACGTAAGAAACTTATCTCGCAATCGAGAGGATCACGCTGGCTCCATAGAAGAGGCCTTCCCAGTTAATCTAAAAGAGGCGTTCAGGGAAGGGCAACGTTCAACCGATGGGGATAAGCCCGCGAACGTTTTGCTCTCCGCTGTAACGGGAGAGACTGTTACAACAAAAGATCCCGCCGCAGAATCACTCGCTGTGTTAGGTAAGACTGTATTCGATAATTTACATTGTCTTGATAACGTTCGGTTCAATAATTAAACGAAGGACTTATAATGCAGCTGCGGATAATGTTCTGGTGTTCGAGTGGGTTACGACCGATTGGTCGAAGTGTTCTCAAACTTGCGGAGGAAGTGGATTCCAGGTAAGACCATTTCTTCTAACTGTGATTAGCTTGACTTAGAAAACTTACAAGTTCTTTCAAGTTAATTCGAAAAATAGAATATTTTGTAAATAATTATTATCATTGTTAAGCAATTGTCCAAGAAATGTTTGAAGCGACAAGAAACTTTACAAAATTTCAACGTCTGCTTGATTGTATTTATTCACTCCGTCATGGTTCATTCATCTTGCTGTCATTTAGACTGCTTTAAGCTTTATCAGTATTCATTTATATCAAATAGATAAAAGAAGTACCGATCGCGACATTTTAACATAGTACAAGTCAAATGAATTTTCACCTAATTTCATATCGAGATTGATCGTTATTAAAACACATTTCGAAATAACTATATTGCGAATTATTCGTTTCCATAGATGCGAGGTGCGCAGTGTACAGTACGAACGACGCAAATGGATGGCAACTCGACACATGTCTCGCCGAGGACGATCATCGGTCAGAAGCTGTGCGAGGACGCCGGACATCCGGTGCCGCAGAAGGTGAGGCCCTGCGGGACCGGCAAGTGCCCTCAATGGCACGCCACGGAATGGACTACGTGCGAAACGTCCAGGTGCTTCAATTGGAAGACGGCGATGCAAAAACGAGACATTAGCTGTCGCTTGGTTGACGACGCGGAGAACGGCTACGAGAACGCCACGCTGCTGGACCCGAGCAAGTGCGACGAAGCCACGAGGCCGCTACAGAGACAGGAATGCTACAACGACGCCTGCAAAGGCGTCTGGAGGGTCGGCGAGTGGACCGAGGTAAATCAATTGATTCAAAACTTGACACGGTGATGACACGGCGCTTGTACTAAGACAATGTTTTCGCACGCAGTGCATCGCGTCCTGCGAGGAAGATGGTATCAAGTATAGGATTTTACAATGCGTCTGGTTCGGTACGAAGAAGCCAGCGGGAAACGCTTGTAGAGATATACCACGACCTCCTGTAATGAAAACATGCAGGGGTCCGCCTTGTCCTCAATCCGGTGGGTTTCTGCAAGAAAACTCTACTAAGTCTTGTATTTTGTAAGAAAATTTTCACTAAGTTCTATGGCTCTTTCTTCTTTTTTTTTCTTTCCGCTCTTTCTCTCTTGCTACGGTGCTACATGACTTAAAAGATACATTTTTACAGAATGTCTCCCTAAGTATCAAGGTTTAGTTTTTGAGCAAACCGTAACACCGTAATTATTCATATCTTACGTTATTAATTCCCATCTCAGTTGTCTAGCGCATACTTTGTGATTAACAGCAATGCTGTTTTGTTGTAGCACTTGCAGAGGATTGCAAGGACCATTCGCAACTGTGCGGCAGGGTGAAAACCATGAACATATGTAAGATGCCGCTGTATAAGAAACAGTGCTGCGCATCGTGTCGCTAGATTCGAGTTATAATTGATTGTAAGTGACTCATTGTGAGGATTAGACAAAATGAGCGATAACGATGAGTGCGCGTGAGACAGAGAGTGTAAATCGTGATTAGTCGGACAATTACTTCGTGACATATATAAACGCACCCGGGATGCCTGTTGTTAGTAAATTACGTAACGCACGTGGAAGGAGCGTGCCCACTGTGGAATAAGATTGCACAGTATTACGATGTCCGATTTATAGATTAAAAGAAAGAATATATCCAAGAAAGGAGTCGACCAAAAACCTACTTCGCTGTAATAGTTCCCCCTCGTCGTATCGTCGCGAATGCCGGCTCACCTCCTCGCCTCGAGCGTTCCTCGCGTAACAAAGAGAGACCCGCCAATCTTAACAGTTTCTAATTAATTGAACTAAATAATTTTCTAACGTATGTCACGCGTAAGTTCGGCGCGATTCCTGCAAATTGCGCACGCTCATATTGCCCCTAATTAAAAAGGGGGGGAAAAAAGGAAGGGAAATGGAAATCCGGCATTTCGTCCAAAAAAGTTAAGAGCGTTATATTGTTATAGAGTTCGATGGGGAGAAAGGGGAGTAGAAATTTATTACTACGTCCTGGGAAGATCGTTATTGCGACATACATCGTTGAAATCGACACGTTATTAAATGTTGTCAATGTTGGTGCTTTAAGTCGCACGGAAAATGGCTTTAAAAAACAGAATGATATTTAAATTTTAATAAAAACACTAAGTCTGGAAAGTTGGGAAGCATAAGTTTTCGTGTCGCAGTGCACATTTCGTCTTGACGCTTATTCTTTTTTACATCTATATATTTCCCAACGCGATAAATGTAACTGTTCTCCATTCATTTCTGAAGTGAAAGAAAGTTATCCTTTTAAGACTGAAACGCTCTTCGGATATCATTGTTCTTGGGCATTAATGTAAAGAAAGTTTCGTTACGTTCCAAAGAATCATTTGATACTCCGTCATAAGCAGGAAAGAATTATATCTTCGCTTTATCTCTGAACATATATTTATTGATATATTATCTCTCCCTCTCTCCTTTATGTTTATAGATTTTGATATCAATTATCATCAAAATGTAAAATGTAAAGTTATTTAAGAAATATAAGTTATCGATGAATTATTGCGCGCCTATAAAGCGTCCCGTCGGGCGATCTTAAGCCAATAGATATCCAATAAGCAATAAAAACAAATATATAAGTATTGTAATATAATATTTTGTTAATAATCTCTGGCGAAAATTCGTGAACATGACCATTCTGTTGTTGGTTATAAAGGGCCCGACTTTACTTATGTGCCTCTAATCACTTCTCACTTCAGAGACCGCGGAACAGGGGACGCGATATGGTACAAGTATAAACGAATTTGTCAGATTATAAATACAATCTAAAAAAATTCTAGATTTTATATAAATATATATAAAGTGTCCGCCCTGTTCAAATTTTCGGGGCGCAGCGCGCCTCTTAGAAAATAGTTGAAATTTTGGAAAAATTGTGATATACTCGCACAAAAAAATACTAACCATTTAAAAAAGCCGACAGTGATCTTTTCAACCTGAAAAGATCACGAATAAACAAGTTTTTTACATTGTGCTTTGGTGCAAACTCAAAATCGTGCGAATTTCTCGTATTAAACTTTCTTGAGCCAGTTACGAGATATTTGCTACATTTATGGACGCACACTCTGTGTGTGTATATATGTAATCTATTAAAAAATTCATTTATACTTATGCTATTTCGCCTCTTTAAAAAAGGCTCCGCCGTCTCTGCTCACTACCTAGATATTACTAATAGTTATAAATATTCATTTGTCGCGTATTCACTCGTAGAACTCATCATAGAAGTCGATGTTTTCGATAAGAGGATCCTTCGCGCAGGTATTGATTATATGTGAAATGTAACGAGGATTTGTCCCCCTTTATATACATGATTAATCACATTAAACGTTTAATTACATCATAGGCGCTGCCGGAATTCTTCGTAGGAGTACATGCACACCAGCGGGAATATTTTTAAAAGTCTATTAAAATATATATGAAATAAAAAGATATCTCCAACTTCTATGATTGCTGTATAGTCAGTACATACGGACGGCAGATTTATTATATAAATGTGCGAATGCATTCCGTTGCATTTCACATCTACGGCGCGCGGCGCCTATGTGAGTTATATGTCGGTATGATTTGATAAGATTGTGAACAGATTTTCGCTATCAACGAATTTGCCTCGACACAGCTAAGCAGTTTGCCAAAACGAGCTGACGTAAATGAGAGAAAAAAAAAGTAAAATATAAATTAGAGTACTATTAAAACCAAGAGATATATTACGAGCTACCATAAATTACTGAGATGCACGCATATAAATACTTTATATGTTGGTACGAGAAAGATTAAAAAGATATACGATGAATATATACTGGACGCATCAAAAGTCGAGATACTTTCCTCAGCCACGCGTTCCTCAGCTGAGGGGAGATACGGCGGCTTTTAATACATCCTATATATGATTACAGCTAGCAAATGCGATAATATGTAATGCTGCCGTCGGCGCGCCATGTATACCACTGTGTCACATTTTAGTAAGTATTTAATCGATACTTACCTTGTAATAATACGACCGCGGCGCGTTACTGAAATTGACGCGGTATCAAGAAGCAAGTTATTTTCCGATTGATCAACGTGATAACACAATTCTTAAAAGGGAAATGAATTCTGACACGTACATTTTTGTATATATCACGATGTAGGTATGTAAAATGGCTCCACACCTAGTACTGTACGTAAGCATTACTGTTCATGATATCTATGTAAATATGTAACTGCCTAAATGCGAATAAAACAAGAGAATATATCACTGCACAATATCGCAGTCATTATTCTTCAAGTTCAGTTAGCAGACTGTCAATTCCAATCCTCTTGATATACACATGTCGTGTCAAATTATAGAGTTACTTGATTGCTAGAATTATTGTAGAATTATTCGAGTGTTAGAACTACACATATCCACTCAGACTCTTTTATTAACAGCCATAGAAGCGTCACTTGAGCGAAACGAATAATGAAAAATATCTTTCTCTTAGTCTCTATTATATTGCCAAATGTATCTTACAAATTGTTATGATTTAAAATATGTTGTAGAATTATTGCTTTCATAATTGACTACTATCTTAGGCGATACTATATTTAAATAACATAGTAATGTTATAACACGTCAAACACGAATTCAGGTAATATTGCAAAATTAAAATAGTGCAACTGCAAAATTGTAGCTCTTCAGAAAGAAGAGTTTTCTTTTCTAAGAAAAATTTTTACACAGTCTCGACAGAAATAAAATATAAAAAAATATCAAACTCTAGATATTCAAGTTACAATGTTGCTGCTTTAAAAAAATATATATATATAAAATATACCAGTAATATGTACTGATATATATGTGCAAATATATCTATATATATATACAAATATATCGAGATATATATAGCGATATGCAATGCACATATAATAACGATGTGCAATGTCAAAATAAATGATTACAGTTGCCCAATAATGCAGTTGCTATTTAACATCAAAACGAGTATACATTGAGTATATATATACTATACATATATAATTTATACAAGTATATAGTATATATATATATTGTTTCGAGTTTGATACCGCTTTCTTTGATCTATCATCTAGTAATGATAGTTTTATCTCTCAACTCTGTTCCATTATCCCTCATAAAAGCATTATCTTAATTATTTTTCAGAAATTGAATTGGATGAGTAAAACTACAAATTATACAAAAGTATAATCAATCATACAAAATAAATCAAAACAGCGAGTGATCTTATTTGCAGTTGCTTAACTCAGCACAGTGATGAATATTGCTCGTTTAGGAAATAGTCAATCCAATCCCCAAGCACGCATCACCTCCTCTTGAGTCATGGGCCACAATCTTTTCAGTAACATCCAGCCGGTTTTTTGGGTGCTCAGCAAATACTGATTGTCGGGATCGCGCATATACGAGTAAGCGCCCATTACCAAACTCTGGCATATCCTGGCGCACACGCTGATCTTGAGAATCTCCTTCTCCACGTCGGTCAGCTTTCTGATTTTCTGGTAACCCTCCAGGACGTACTTACCCATTTCTACGTCAGCCGTTTGCAGGATCATGTAGCAGAGAACTATGGCTAATTCGAAAACACGACAAGTCCTGTGAGAGTCACCGAAATCGATCACCGCCGCTATATCTTTGCCGTCCGGAGTCACGATGATGTTATGCTCATTCAGATCACCGTGTATGATCGTTTGCTCTAGATGATTCGTGATGGGCAACACTTTCTTCTGGAAGTTAACGATCACGTCGTGCACCAGCTGCTTATCCAGGGGGCTCTTGATCGCGTGCGTGAACTGCAACACTCGCGGCGCCGAGGTCAACATCCACAGTGATTTGTGATCGTCGTAAGCGGGATGATTGAAGTCCGCGAGGATCTCGTCGATCCTCGCGGTGAAACCGCCAACCTTGCGCAGCAACTCGTCGGTTATCTTTACATGATACAGCAGCTCGCCAGGACGATAGACCAACAGTCTCACTGCGTACTTCTCCATGGTATTCTCGCTCTTCAGGGTTTCCAGAGAGTAGTACGCGCCGTTCACGTTCTTCACCGGCAACGGGCAGCAGATGTTTCGCTGATTGAGGAAGATCATCAGCTCCGTCTGCGCCTCGATCACATCGGTCTTGAGAGAATCCAAGGAGTTGATCACCTTGAGGACATAGCCGGTCTTCTCCAGACCGACCGCATGCGGATTCGCGGGCGGCCCATCACACATCACGTGGTAGTTGCGGTCGTCGTAAGCGTTTAGCTCTCGCACGCTCATCGCCCTCATGCCGTAGAGCCGCTCCAGCAGACCGGTCGCCGTCGCCTCGGTTACGGGCGGACGTATCTGCTGGCCTGGGATAAGCAGCGTGTCGTTGTACTCCATGCCGCTCGCCTCGCCGCGGTGTATGGCGCAAAAATAGCCGCGAGTTATTAAGGGGGAAGCCGGGTCGATGAAAAAGAGAAACGTATGTCCCCTGTACGGCGAAGGGAGAGAGCGAGAGGAAGGGCGTTTGGAACGATGAGTAGAGCTGTGGCTGGAATATCTTCTTTGTTCCACGGCCGATTAATTGTTAAACTGCACAGAGATATAGAAGGCGCGGCTATAGAATTTTGTATATCAGTGTAGACGTGCGGGAACGATTTGTCAATCGATCCGTGCAACGCTTCTCACTGAGGTAAGAAGATAGATTGCAATTAATACAAGTTATATCGGAGCCGTGAGCGTATTGTTGCGATTGCGAAATGACCAAGCCCGCTGAATGTATTCATCTTTTGGTGAGCGATAATTGGTTTCTATCGCTACTTTGTTTCACTCGGAACGTATTTCAATGCGCTTTAAACAACGAGCAAATAGGTAACTTAATTAAAAGAAGTAACGTAGAACTTATCACGTATTTTTTTACAAACTAAAGTAAAAGAGAGCACGTTTCCGCGTACTATTCGCACGACAAAGACAACTATGAGCAATTTTAAGTATCTTAAACTGAAACGTGTATCTTTATAAGTAATACACGGATATTCGCGGTCACGGAGACATATATGTAAATATATCGACTTACCCGACTGAAGGACGTGCTTATTCGACCGAAGGAAGCGGCAAACTAAGTTCTCAAACGGACGGAGCGGCTCGCCGAGCTAGGCGAACGATCGGTGTGCGCTGCGAGCGTAGTCCACGCTCAATCATCGTTGACATTCAGCACAACTAGAGGGTACAAACGCGCAATGATATTTACATCAGTAGTAATTGAGCATACAACACGATGCGGCACGACACAGCGTATCGCGGTGACTAAATGACTCAGTCTTATCGAGGCTGATAAAACCATTGGAGATAGCGTCTACGGAGCCGCGTTATTACCTCCGAGTTTCATTCAACCGAGGGAGCCCGCTTGCTTTGGGAAACGCTACTGGAACCAGATCCGTTACCGCTCCTTCGCAAGGGAATTGACGAGGCATAAAGATGTACGCTTGGTAGACGGTGTCTGAGTTTCCTCATCAAATTTATTCTTACTTCTTACGAGTACTTTCTATTTATATTTACAAATAAATCTTGCCCCCTTATGTACAAAAGAGATATAAACCCTTCAAAATATGGTAACGGAAAACTTTGTTGCGGGAGGAGGATTTAAAGTTGTCTCAGTCCTTTTTATACTTTTCGACGAAACACACTCAACTGGCAACTGAAGCAATTTTTAATTCCGTACCGCGTGCACGTCTTAAAAATTTTCATATAAAACAAGATCACTTATAATAAATACCTTTCCCGTGAGTTCTAACTTCCCCTTTAGTTTTAACGTGCATCACAGCCTTATTTTTTATATCGTAAGATAAATTCATTCCTGCATTAATAACTGAAAACAAGTATCGAATGTGCATAAGGCCGGCGGTATTTTCTCCATTAACTTTATAATCTGCATAGCTTCAAGTATGTATTTCTGTCTTTTTAACTCGTGTATGAGTATTTTTGCATTTTCTTCGATGCCAGTTAAGGCTTCGTTTACGAAGACATGTTCGATTATCTGTTTGTATACAACGTGGTCTGGTCTGAACAATGCTGTTAAATCATTTAGGAAAAGTTTCTCCAGTACTAATGGCGGTAGCACGACAGCCTGGAAAAATGGAATTATAAATGTTATATACATTAATTTAACTGTCCACACGCGAATAGACGGACAACACTAACCTGTTGGTTTTTAATTAGGTTTACTGCTTCTTCATGCATCGACACGTTCTGAGAACATAATCTTATATAAACGCTTTGTAAAAAGGTAATGTGATCTCGCTCGAGCTCCAAAAACTCCTTGAGGATCTGAAAGCAATTCGATAAATATTATATTTAATTGCCCATAAAGAAAAGAAAATAATGTAATTCATTACTGCACCTCCTCAGATGTTAATAATCCAACGAGTTCTTCGTGCTCTTGTAATAGCCTTTTTTCAAGCTCAACCGTATTCGTTTCTACAAGCGAAATTATCGCTTTCATCATTTTTAAAACTGGATGATTATCTATGGTGATATGATCCGGCATATTAAATTTTGGCCACTGCGATACTATTGTCTTTACTTCCTGATATTGCTCGAAATTATTGATTTGATTAAACCGTTTTTGAAATAATTTAAATCGCTCTTCCTCTGTCGTACATTCGACGGTGTGAGCAAGAGGAGAAATTTCTTCTTGCGATACTTTGTATCTAATTTTATCCTTATCACTATTTGCTTCTATGCTATCATCGGAAAAATCACCCCAATCATCTGTCCATTCTACATCAATATCGTCTGAGATAGCCACTTTTAGATCTTCATCTGCCTTAGAATTTGACGCTGGATTATTAACATCGAAATATTCTACAGATTCTTGCTCTTCATTTGTGGATTTCAGAGTTTCCACAGTCTCTGTAGGATGTGCACGAGCACCGCGTTGTCCCAATTCTAACGCACTTATATCTTTAAAGTCCACTTGTTTTATACTAGCAATTTGTGCTCCACCGAGTAGGTAACTTTGCCAATATTGCAACGCTTTGACAATATCACACTCTTCAGACTTTTGTGCTGCAACCATCATGACTTTCATTAAGTCTAATGGATTGTACAAATATAACTTTTCAAAATCAGTGTACAATTTCTTGTACAGTTCTAATGAATAGTAATAAAGCGCAGTTTGTACGTATAATTCAATTTGCGGCAAATCCGTAAAGACTGCCTGAGCATCCAAAATACGATTTCTGTTTAAACTCAATAGATACGCCATACCGAGTAACCAATCGTCTGGCATGGTGTGCTTTGCACATTCTAGAAGCACTGAAATTAATATACAAATTTTTTTAATTCCCACCATAAATGTAATTCGTTTACGATTAAATTTTTGTCAAATACTTTGAATAATATGCGACACTTACAATGATTAATGTCACTTATTTCTAGCCCATAGCAAGAGGATTCACTCAACATGGATATTCTCAAAAGCGCTCGGCAACATTTTAATTTTGTATTTTCTATGTCTGTCATAGAATACTTATTGTATCTTGTCCCATTAACGCTTATTCTGCATAGTTTATGTAAGGATTCATAATAGCACGGAAAAGATTGAAGATTGGCATCTTCCTCCTTTTGTTCAATCTCAAATTCATGTTGTACACTAGTTTCTAAATCGTTTTTAAAATTAAGATTCAGTCTAGATTTCCAAAATTTAGTATTACTAATATTTCTTATCAAGCTGAATGTAGATTCTTTCATGAGATTAGCTGAACTTTTTACAATTCCCGTTGAAGTTTCCAACATTTTTGGAACAAACTCTTTCACCTCTATCTGCGGCTGTAAATTATACAATAATGTTTCACTTTTCACATTATACATAAGAACAGTATTATTATTAGTGTTGTTCATTAAAGCAAATTTCCTTTACCGTTGTCATAGCATCTGTAAAATCATCTTCGCTCGTATCGCTTTCTTCATCTTTTACACTTTTAAATTCTTCCGAGGGCATCCACAGTTTCAAATTCTGATGTAGCATTTGTATTTCTAGCAACTGCACGTGTTCTAAAGCATTACCCAATATATCACTGGGACCATTATTTATTGCAAACCATAGACACTTTTGTCTATCATTTAAATCCCGATAATTATCACAACGCCCTAAATTTAAACAAATTTCCCAGGCAGGAAGATAATTGTTCTTTATTAATTGAGAACATATAATAGCACATGTATTATAATCCTCAGTCTGCGGAATAAAAGATAGAATCACGTAATATACATATCTGATGCTTTTGTCTTCAAAGAACTTTCAAAATTGAGTCGTAAAAAGTACATGTAGAAAAGATGGATATATCTCACCTCGAGTGCCTTTTTAGCTATTAGTTCTGAAATCTTTCCTTCACGAAGTCTATTGTTATTTCCTTCAATTCGTAAATAAGTTGCTAAAGTTAATAATCTTTGTCGATTTTTATAAGCATCTCTATGGTTACTTAAACAGTGCTCGATCAAAGTTAATCTATCCACTGTTAATCTAACTTGAAGAGGTAATATATCAACATTGAATTCACTCAATATTTGAAGCGATCTAATAAGATCATATTCTTCTTTAATTTTTACGTTGTCGTCTTCGATAAGATCAAGACAGGTTCTAGAACAATTATTTATATATGTTATGTTGCAGAATAAGTTATTATATTGGAGCATTATTACGCTGACGAGATACTCACTTAGCTAATTCCATATGTGGATCAGTGAGTGTCCTTGAACCATTAAAATATTCTTTAGACGCTTCTAATATAAGATCAATCGCTTTCTCATAGGATACTTTTAACAAAGATTTCTCATTTTTCTTGGTTTCCATTAAAGTCGCACAATTACGAATGGTACACTTAATTCTTGAAAGTAAACGGGCTGAGACACATATTTCGAAACAGGTCTCAACAGCGATACACGAAAAGATTAGTCCATGTATATCTAACATGTCGTTTAATAATTGCGCCCATTCCCTTTCATCTGGAGGTAGCACACTGAAATAATGAATACATTGTCTCTCATGCCTATTATGAAAATCACTTAAAATTGATATTTACGTTTAACACAATTACCTTTTACTTAAGCTTCGTGCCGTTTGGGTTAACAGCGATTTAGCAACGTCAGGATCATTTCTATTTTCTCGTAGAAATTTTAACGTTGTTTTTACACCGTATTTACTTAAAAGCCTAACGCAGTCGAGTTCTCCTTCAGACTCTTCTAATAAACTGCATATTGTGCTTGTTCCATCGTCGCTCGATATCGAATCTAAGATATCCTTAGCTTTCTCATACATGTCAAGATCATCACAAGCATATATACAATCTAAGGCTAAAGTAGCGACATCATCTATCATTTCAATTATCTCAGTGTCCTGCGACTGTTTTAAATACTCGAAAAATTTTACTGGAAATGTCAAATCATCTTTGCTTAAACAAATTAGGTAATCGCTTAGTAAGCATTTCTGAAGATCTCCACCCTAAAATTTTAAATAACATATGTATACATATATACATACATATAGTTCCAGTAATCTAAAATATAGCTGCACATACCAAATATTGATGCCTGCGTTTAATAAAAGGCAACAAAAGGTTCTTTATATTTTCAGCAAAAGTAACTTCATTTGATGTACTCATTAAAAGTTTTATCTTCTCCATATTACTTAATTTCTCTAATTTATCTAATGACATATCCTCCAAATCTACTATGTACACAAGATCATCTAAAGTTTCCAATTCCAATAGCAAATCTTCCAAGTCGTTAATATTATGAGACTTTCCAATTTTAACTAATTGCAATGCATTATCTACTAAAGAGCTATTCTTTTCAATTTCATAAGCACGTGTCTTGTACCATTTTTGTAGTAAATCTGGCGTAAGCTGTGTATTCCTAAAAGCGAAACGACGATTAGATATAAATACTGCAAGGAAATGTAGACAATAATATAACATTCTTACCTATATATTAACAATGAGGGCTCCAATTCATACAATATTTCCGATGGATCGTCTAAATCGAGATTTATGATTTCATTAAATTCGTGTTTTTCTGACCAATCTTTTTGTCGTAATTCACGTTGATCTAACAAAAATAGTCGACCTTCGGAATCACATTCTGGTAGCAGTTTTTGATAATCCAATGTACTCAGAGTTTCTGGAAAGAAGCTGACAATTGCTAACCAATGAGGCAACAAACTTTCTCCGTAATAAGTAAACATAATTTCAACAGCTCGATAATCTCCATCTTTGGCAAATCTGTAATTAAGAAAATATTAATATGACAAAAATATACTCCTAATAAAAATACACTGTATTTCATAAATCAATGACAAAATGTATAAGTGCATTAATACCTAATTGCATTTTCAATAGGTGATAATCTTCGAAACTCCTCGTAAAATTCTTTTTTATACTTGAGTGGCGACTCTAATATAATTTCATACGTAAGCAATTTATCTAAATGATTTAGAAGCTTCCTCCGATACTTGACTAAATCTTTCTGAGCCTCGGATAAATTTTGTATGTCTATTTGTTCAAGCATCTCATTGGCTTTCTGCACCTGTCAATGATTTCCAAATTGAATTACATTACATTGCATGCTATATACACAATTTTTTCTGTAATACATGTTTATTTTATATATGTCGTCATAAACGGTTCTACTTACTTGTCTCAAACTTACAGTGATTTCATCTAACGCTTGCCAATCTGTATCGGGAGTTACAAACTTGTCATTGTCGCAAATATCGATAGCTATTAAAGTTTCTAGATTTGCGCCTCTCAATCCGAAATTTAATAGTTCCCTTGCAGCTTCCATAGTATCAGGAACGCGTACAACGCATTCATTTAAAACCCAAGATCTTTTGCTGATTTTGCTTAAATGTTCTGCAATGGCGCTCAAAGATAATTCTGACTTTCTCCACTGTGTTTGATACACAAGGTCTGTGTCCAAATTATATGTATTTGCTAAGGCTAAAGCTTCCTCGTATTCCTGAGATATCCATAAAAGTTCTTAGTCATTTAAAAGTTAATTAAACGCAAGTTCAACTGAACCATTTGTGCATTTACCTCAATGTCTATTTTTCTAGAATACAGCTCTTCTGGAGTCGTGCTTTTTAAGCCCAAAATTCTGTAAGTTCGATGCAACACCTTCGACTTTTTTCTCTTCGGTTGAAATCTTTCAATATCGGTTATTGAATATAGCGTGCTTTGTACCAAATTCGTGGTATAATTTAATATAGTAAGAGGCTCCAGCTCATCGTCGTCCTTTTCACTTTCAGACGATGCTTCTTTAATATAAAATAAAAAAAGTTTGCTTTTATTTTCCACACACACTTAACAATTATCACACTCTCAATGAAGATATCATACACGACACATGCAGATTAGCTAACAATTTCCTGCATCAGTATAGTTATTGCAAATTAATAAGGCACAAAAATATAAACAAACCTGACAAATGACCACTGGTGGACTCTCTACTTCGTTTTTTACTCGTAATAAAGGTTTCACAATCTAAACATAAAAATCCTTTCTCTAAACCAAGCTCGCACACTTGCGGTTGTCCTGCTAGAAACTCTGGGCTAACACCTAGCAGATTCTTTAAGTTCCATGTAGAGCAGACCGAAGTGGAACCTGAATATCGAGCTATTATGATAGCCTTAAAAATATTTTACGAAATATTATTATTTAAGAGATGTTTAACTTATGACATCGCATATGTAAATAATAGCTAAATATGTTTCTTCACCTGGTCAGACCACCAACCGATATCTATTGGATGAAATTCTGTGAAGCCTAGTGGAAACTTTTTAGACTTTGTAAGCCCCAGAGGATTAGGTACGTTGTATTCCGGTTGCTCGGCCAACTTCCACTTTTTCTGTAGTATTAAGTTCGGCAAACCCCACAGCGAGACTGAACCGTCCGTATGCAGGCATACCAGAAACTCGCCGCTCGGTGAAATTTTTATCGAAAATATAATCGATTCTGATTGGCCGCTAAAGATAGGAATCAAATTCCATATGGAAAACCGCGAGTTGCTGGTGACGGAACTTTCAAATGTAAACGACAACTTGCAGTATGGATAATCATTTAAGAGTCGCCACGAAGTCAATCCAGATTCAGATGCGGTGGACTGAAACACGTTACATTTGCAGAATTATACATCACATGTGCGTGTAATAGTTATCAAAGTATATACCTATTATATACATATTTACCGTTAATTTTTGCGTTATCATATTTCCAGCAACGTAAAACAAGCTGCATTTCTCATCGAAGGCCACGACGTTAATACCGTTCTTGTAAAAATTACCAAAAGAAAAGTCGTAATTCACACTGAAGCCACTGGTAGAAACATGATAAGACCTGAGCAGGCCGCCGTACGAAATTAAAATAAACTCGTAGGCCCATCTCTCACTCGTCGTCCTCGGCTTAAGGAACAGCATGGACGCTACAGCGTCGCCGGCTTCGAGAATATGAGGGCTTTGCGACATCGTTTTCGGACTTATGTTAAAGATATTGTTTCCCAGCGCATTGTAAAAGGACGTGTAGCCGCTACTGGACGCCAATACCAGGATCATCCCGTCAGGGCTCCAGGCAAGCTTGCGCCACTGGGGAAAGGCATCCCTTGGAGCTGGCAGAGGTGCATTAAAGCAAATTAGCTATTTACCAGAAAAATATCAACGACGCCGAGAATATTAATGTGCTGCTTACCAGACGCCTTGCCCACTATGGAGGAATATTCATCCTTGGCCTTTCGTATCTCAATGATGTTCTCCTGCAGGATAGCGAGCACCCGGCCACGATCGCCGACGGCAAATTTCCACGGTAGCGTGAGACTGACTTGCTGCAGGATGCTCTCGGGTAGAAAGGACCAGTTGTTGAAGTACCTGAGAGCGTTCTTTATCGTGCCAGTGGCTGGCAGGTTGGCCGCGTCGTTCTTGCATTTCTGAAATACGAGACGTTTCAGCCGTGCGGTAATGTTTCTCTTTTTTTCCTGCGGATTGCTTCCAATTGTAAAAAGTTACGTAGCGCAATTAACGTCTAGACCCTGATGGTCTTCTAACCCTACGATCTCCCGCGTGTCCTCGAACCGCGGTTTTCGGGCTTACTATCAATTCCGGCTCCTGCTTGCGAACGAAGTACTCCAATAGCTCGTACAGTATCGGCTCGTTTGACGTTTCGTCCACGTTGCTCATCTTGTCACCGCGAGCGCACACATAACCTGCACGCGCCACGCAAGTGCACGCAAAGCCTCGCGCAAGGTCCGCAAGACTGACCGTGGCCCAGGCTGTGCGCGATACTCCCAGGTGTGGTGTACGACGAGGATTATGATAATCAACCTGTCTTTGCTGTTAACGAATGTCGTCGATCTATAAACGAAATGCACTTTAACCGTACGTGTGTAAAAGCAATGCGTTATTCGCGATTATCGTACATAAACGGGAACTGAGTAATACATAATCTATTGAGTAGAATCGCTTATTTAGCTCCAATAGAACGCACGCGCTATAGCTAAGGTATCGTAGATTTCAAGTGTCAAGTCTTCGGATTTATAAAGGCCAATGTCCACGATACTAGAACTTGGACCAAGTTCTAGCATCGTGGACATTGGCCTTAAGAAGCGGGTTTCTCCATGTATATTATTATAATAAGTATTGCGGTTTCTTCCTCAACTTGTTTCTAGCTCGAAGAGCTGTGAGTCTAATCTACAATGTGCTCTCTGCATCTAGAAACATTCTATTTTGTAGTCACTAAATACATTTAAAAAGTTTGCGCAAGTGAATGAATTATAATATACTGTATGTACAATCGTACATTGTCGACAAATGTTTTAAGCGTTTCGATTTGTTTATATAAAATAGAATGTTTCTAGATGCAGAAAGCACATTGTAGATTAGGCTTTAAGGTGCGAGCTTTACAACCCAGGTAGCCAACTGACTTTGTTGATCATGATTTATTTTATACTACGACGGTATTTTAAATGCCTCGAGTCAAATACATATAAAGCACAAACCTTGCAGTTACATTGCAGCTACGTTACAGCAATGTTGCAATATTGTAGCAATGTTATTGCAATGTAACTGCAAGTTTTGTGCTGCACGGGAATAAAAGAGATTGCCTGTGTCCAGCAGAAGTTAGCGCTTGCTAAGCGCTTTGCGTTCATTGGATTATACTTTCAGATCTGTGCTGAAATAGAGCTATTCTTCTAGATCTATCCAATCCGCATAGTGCTTTCCGCTTCAATCGGAGAGCAACTTTTATTATGTACTTAACTCGGGGCATTTAAAATATCGTCGTAATATCAAGTAAATCATGATCAATAAAGTCAAAGCCGCGCGAGTCTCAGCCAATCAGCGGGAGGCACGAAGATCCCTTTGTTTGTAAAAAATCGGCGGCGGAAGATCTTCATGCTACTCGCAGCTGAACCGTTCGAACGTTTCTCATCGCTTTCCATCCTTGTCTCATTGCGTTATAATTATCGCGCAAATTTCCAGTTTTTGCATCACACGCTCATTTCACGAGGCACAGAGCTCGCGGGCTACGTCACTGGCGCGGCGGAGCGGCATTGCTGGCGTGTCGGTGTTTCACGGCGGCCTACGCGAGTCGCCGCGGAGAGGCGGATTTCAAAATACGTCGTACCTAACCGTCGTTGTCGGCGGGTGAACCGCGTAATATCTGCGCTAGACGTTAGCCAAGAAGAAGCTCGCGAAATGTCGGACGGCGAGGACGATTTCATGTGCGAGGAGGAGGAGGATTACGGACTGGTAAGTTTTCCTCGCCCGAGGAGCCGCGCGGCCGTCGTTCCGCCAAACGTTTCCCTCCGGCTCGCGGCGAGGTTAGGATCCCTGGAGCCGTCGCGTCGCGTCCGGCATTTAAAAATAGTTTGAGGGACACCTCGGTGGATCCTGCACGACGCACGGGCCCGTCCACCCGGCGCGATCCTCCGGCGCGTCCCGCGCCAACGTCTCCGACCTGCTTGTGCTAGGTTATGTTTAGCCGCCCCCTCGCCCGCGCGGCGTCGAACCAAGCACTCTCGGTCGTCAGACCCGGCCCCGCGGCCTCTTTAATCGCCAATTTGTTCCAGGAGTATTCCGAGGACTCCAACTCTGAACCGGACGTCGATCTAGAAAATCAATATTACAATAGTAAAGCTCTCAAGGAGGACGACCCGAAGGCTGCTTTACAAAGTTTTCAGAAAGTGCTGGATCTGGAAGGCGGCGAGAAAGGAGAGTGGGGCTTCAAGGCTTTGAAACAGATGATCAAAATTAATTTTAAACTGGTACGTGAAAGTAGAAATGCATCGGTAATCACTTGCGGCTCCGGTCGTATATATAAAATGTTAAATGTAACGTCTCCCTTTCAGTCCAATTATAAAGAGATGATGTCAAGGTATAAACAATTGTTAACGTACATTAAAAGTGCAGTTACTAGAAATCACTCGGAAAAGTCAATAAATTCTATATTGGATTATATTAGTACATCAAAGAATGTGAGTACGCTCGGCGAGTAAGCACGTTGTTGTATACCTATTGGGCGTACAACTTTGCTTCCGCTGTTTTCCCAAAATTTCAGGCTTTATTGTTAAAAAGTGATTACATACATATGACATTTTTTATCTACCTATTTCGACCAGCACTTACCGCTGCAGCTGTCCATCGAAAAACTGCGGAAGCAAAGTTGTACACCTAATATATGCGTTAAATTTCTGCGTTTCCAAAAGTAACGAGTGTGTTCTTTAAGATGGAGTTATTGCAAGACTTCTATGAAACCACATTAGATGCATTAAAGGATGCAAAGAACGATAGGTTATGGTTCAAAACCAACACAAAATTGGGTAAACTCTATTACGACCGTTCAGATTTTAATAAATTGGCAAAAATACTGAAACAACTTCATCAAAGTTGTCAGGTGTGTATACATGCATAAGTGTGACTGTTTATGTACAATGCGTACACATATATTACTTGTTATCAAGTGGGTATATGTGTAAGCAATATGTGATTGAATATATATTATTTGTGCACACGTTTACCTTGTACTTTTAGACTGATGATGGAGAAGACGATTTGAAAAAGGGGACGCAGTTATTGGAAATTTATGCCTTAGAGATACAGATGTATACAGCACAAAAGAACAATAAGAAATTGAAAACCCTGTATGAGCAGAGTCTTCACATTAAAAGCGCTATTCCTCATCCACTAATTATGGGTGTCATTAGAGGTAATGACTTGAACGTTTTTCAGAAGCGGCGATACTTGTAGCATTTCACACTGTCGCAACTTTATGTGCGTGGCACTTGGCGAGGCAAAATGACAAAGTGCTTGTACTTAAATTTCAGAATGTGGAGGTAAGATGCATTTAAGGGAAGGCGAATTTGAAAGAGCTCACACTGACTTCTTCGAAGCGTTCAAAAATTACGACGAGTCCGGCTCACCAAGACGTACAACATGTTTAAAGTACTTAGTTTTGGCCAACATGTGAGTACAATTACGTATTCTCTATCTCATTGCGATTACTGCACATTACATTTGTACAATTACATGTATATTTATATGTATCCAATTATTAATGCCAATTTGAAAAGTATAGTTTTATCAATTAAAACGGCAAACAAGTCAGCTTTTAGAATCTTACACTAAATAAAAAATGTTTATGCACATGATTAATGTAATTTATAAAAGTGATTCCGACATTTATGTAGGCCAAAAGCAAAGATTCTATATATATATATATATGACTGTATTGTGTTGTTAGGTTAATGAAATCTGGTATTAATCCATTTGATTCACAAGAGGCGAAACCATACAAGAACGATCCTGAAATTTTAGCAATGACAAATTTAGTTGTCAGTTATCAGAATAATGATATTAATCAGTTCGAATTAATTCTAAAACAGAATAGGAACAATATTATGGACGATCCCTTTATTAGAGAGCACATTGAAGATTTGCTACGGAACATACGTACACAGGTATACCTCTTGATTCAATATTGGCGTCAACATTTTTGTTTTATAATTCATTAAGCTGTTTGAGATAATATAAGTTCATACATCACATTTATACAATATTGTGATATTTTATTAATACACGCAACTGTTTCAGGTTCTAATCAAATTGATAAGACCATATACTAGAATTTATATTCCTTTCATAAGCAAGGAATTGAACATTGACGTCTCAGAGGTGGAAAGTCTCTTGGTATCTTGCATTTTGGACAATACTATTCACGGTCGTATAGATCAGGTAATATTCTTATAATCTAGAACTATCTACCAAGGCGTTCTGATTGTACATAACTCTGTGTTCTTTGTAGGTAAATCAGGTTCTCGAATTGGATAAGAAATCTGTATGTGCTGCACGTTACAACGCTCTCGACAAATGGGCAGGTCAGTTGCAATCCTTGCATACAGCTATTGTGAACAAAATGTCTTAAGTGACACGACGCGCATTCTGCAATAAACAATCTACTTTCACCTTATGTATAGTATATCATAAAGCCCCATACAGATATAAGAAGAAATGAAGTCTATTGTGATATAATAAATTTAGCATTTTAGCACGGGAGTTATTCTTATTTCCATTGTATAAATTCTGTCCCAAAAATCAATGCAAAAAGATATAGAGATTCGGATTGTCAGGCCAACTGATAATGTACATGAGATCTGATAACTCTTATTTTCTAAATTTAACTTGTTTTGTCAGCTTCTAATATAGGTTGCTTCAAAATTCGCATCTAAGGTAATATTTTTCAGCATACGATATTTTCATACATTTAATATTGGTACCAATTAAATGAGTAATAATCTATAATTTATGATAACTGTTTATATACGCTGCTATTCGTATGAAACAGTCGTATTTGGATATTTTAACATTCTGTTCCAGAATCTTTGCTTTTGGCCTACATAAATGTCGGAATCACTTTTATAAATTACATTAATCATGTGCATAAACATATTTAATTTAGTGTAAGATTCTAAAAGCTGACTTGTTTGCCGTCTTAATTGATAAAACTATACTTTTCAAATTGGCATTAATATGTGAGGTAAGGATGAAAATATAGCGATAAACTAGGTCGGAAATAGTTTTTTGTAAAGTTATTATTAAATATTGCATTTCACATTTCGTATAGTTTCATATTATATTAATATTTTTATCTCATATTTATAGAACAATTGAGGTTACAGTCCTTTATCCACGGACGTTCACGGTATTCACGGTATACTTTTTTTAGAAAAAATTTCGAATGTGATAAAATGATTGATCAAAGCAACATTTTCTATTTTTTATAAATTGAGTGACGTAAAAAAAATCGAATAACCAGTTTAATCTCAATTGTACGTTCTTTAAGTTTGATCAAGGCTAAAATATCAATATCCTGTAGGAGTGTAGGATAATACAATGCAAGATAAAAGGGAACCTCTTACTTACTGGATGTCCATTTACAAATACCTGTATTGAAAAAAAACTCTGAGCTTAAAACGAGCGCGAGGATGAACACAGACATGAATTGTACGAGAAATCCTCGTGTTGATTTTTCAATGTAATTCCATCACTTTTCCATCATATTAATAGCTAAAAATAGATTCAGATTATAAAATAAATAGCAGGATAATGTCCCAGAGTAACAGAGAACACAGTTCCTGACATTTCCTTTCTTAAGAGATCAAAGAGTAGAATCTTGAATAATAAAAGGACCGCGCGTGAACGTCCGTGGATAAAGGACATTCCACAGCTCGGAAATTATGCGGGTCATGTATAGAGTTTGGGCAATATCGACAATTATCAGAACTTTTGGCATGGAAGCCTCCGTGCTGTCATCGCAAAATTATGGGAAGTCGAGCTCGGCTTCGACTCGAGCGGGACATGGCTCGATTCGGTCGGGACAATTTAACTGACGGCGAGAATGTAGACGCTGCAGAATCTCTCGTGCAGAGAGGAGGATATCGCGCGGGCATGAAGGAAGATAGAACGTACGCGAGATACCGTTGTTCTACGTTTCCCTTCCATCACCGTCCGTCCCATATCCTCCCCCGCCCCGTGCTCTGTCTGCCACGGTGCCGCTCGTTACCACTTCTCGCACGTTCGTACGCTTAAGTAAATCCCGAGGGGAACTAACAAACCTTGGCCCAGACGCGCGATGTATATGTATCCTTCGCAGAGAGTAATTCCACGGTTGGTTATCGGTGACTCGATTGACGAACGTTTCGTGCGATCGTAGAATTAACGTCAGTAGAATTGATTTTGCACTAAAAATGCAATTTCAGTAATTTAAGTTGTGTGTAAATTACTGACGAGGGTCACGAGAGAGAAATTACCACCAGAAAAATCATGATAATGACTGATGATAGATAGCTGACATGGGCAGCCAACGATCGTTAAACGATCACGGGGCAGAGGAAGAAGATTGAGCTATCCGAAAAACAGTCGATAGTTCAAAGAGCGTTTCTTTGACACTTATTTTACCTGTACATTAACGGTGGATATGTTTTCTTGTTCCTCTTCTCTTTCCTCTCTTTTACCACATAAAAAAAAATATATATATACATATATATACAATTCTTACACATTACATTTATTTAAGATTTGTCGCTCTCTTTAGTTTGTATTAAATTACAAATATGAGCATACGTATGTTATGTAGATTATTATTTCTGTCGAAGAATAATTGAACGGGTTGTTAGAGACATCCTGATAAGATCTTTGGTTAATTGCGAGATATCCACAGAGTATCTGTTTCATATTCGTACAATACAAATTGCCCCCGACGGTTCGCATCACTTGACTTGCGCGATTTCATGTACGCGAATACCTCTGATAGGGGCGGGTCTAATAATTTTCACTCGATCAACCGAGTAATGGAACAATTCATATTGCCAATTCCGTATCAGACCTCATCTCGATTTCGTTCCTCGCGTCATATCATTGCTTTCTTTCCAAATTGGGAGCGTTTGCCGCTCGAAAACGCGTAATAACTTTCGACATAACAATTTGTATATTATTTTAAGCGAACCAAGAAAATTTTAGTGAATAAGCAATGGAGGAACCTGAGAATGGTGTAAGTTCGATTTCGAAGAACAGAAGTTTATAATCGCAGCAAGTTCCGGTGAGTTTTATACTGATTCGTACACCCTTCGTACACTGATATCATCCTTTTCTAAAAAAGAGATGTTATCAGCGCGAATGTCGTTAATATTGAACAGTCGAGGCCTCATTTTCGCGATGCCGACTGGTTTTCTCGAAGCGCGGTGTGCTTCATTTTTCTTTTAGATTCGTAGTAAGTAAATGAAGATTTGCAATTTAGAAATATACATTTGTATACACCAACTATTGAGGTAAAATCTCTAATCTTAGTAATTAGAATTTAAGTAACAACGATTTTTGTTCCCATACATTTTCTCGAGTGAACAGAATTAATCGTTAATTTAATCAATACCAATAAGTCCGCGGAATAATACGCAAAACGTAGCAACAGTCACGGAACAAAGTAATGTACAATAAAATATTAAGTACGGAAGTTTCCATTGCGTAGGCAGGCCAACGAATTCTCAACGTTTTTTTTTGTTGTTTTTCACTCGGCGCGGTGACGTATGCTGTTTTTGCGTTCCATCGTTCCACCTGAAGGTCGCCGCGCTCTCATTCGCTCGCCGAACGTCGTGCCGGCAAGCAGTGGCGAGAGCACGGTCTTATACACAGGTCGGGACACTCGTGGAATAAAGCGTGCTCGAAATGACGCCAATATGGCGGTCAGCTCAGGCCTAAAGGTGCAATTTCACGTGACTTTTCGACGTAGTGGGGGAAAAA